TCTCAGATATGTCTCCAGTTTAATTGAGCTTCACTGGAAGAACTTTAAAGGAAGTTACTATAAAACAGCTTCCAGTGTTTGCCACAAGGGAGAACTGGCTCTGAGTTCTTGCATCCCAGACTGGCTGCCTGTCAAACACAACTCTGGAGGAGTATGTCTTTCTGCTGAAAAATCATGAGTTGCAGGCTTAACACACAGGCTTAACACTTGTCTCATCTGAAGAGCTGATCAGCTCACTTCACTCTTATGACAGGTAGAAGTACCACACACAGCCTTACTTATCAGCAGAAACGTTGAAGTAAGAGAGCACAAGTTAATTAGACTTGACCCTATAACAAAGAACACGGATGTTATGGACTATATTGCTGTTCATCTGTTCTGTATAGCAAAAGTAGGGCAGTACAGGAAAGGTAGTTTTGTGCTTGTATTAGCCATCTAGGAGATGCGTTTCAACAAACTGTCTTCTGTGTGTTGGAGAAGATTGAAAAGCACAGCTTGTCTTTTCTGTTGATAGCAGTTGGTTTACATTTTTTTTCAAAGTGAGAAACAGCATTAGCTGATTCTGGACTCAATCTTTAAAATAAAGCTAATTAAACTGCAATTCTGAGTACATGTATCCCTGCACAGAAGGGGACAGTAGCTGATACATAGGTACTACATGTCTTCAGACGAAAGTTGCTGTTGGAAAACAACCATTTGAAGGGAATTAAAAGGGCTGTTTTTTAGAAATGGTAGATTTAAACTTCCGTAATGTTCTCCTTACTGTAATGATGGCTGGTGTGTCTGATCTTGGGCAAGGCTGTGCCAGCCCTCCAGTTTGTTTCCTTTGCCTGCAGGTGAGATCAGTGGGTCAATCAGTGAACAAAGGAGAGTGCAGAGATTTGGGTGGAAATAAGGAAGATTTCCTTCTTTCTTGTCAAGGAATGGATGCTCTTGATCACAGATTTTTACTATCATCTTCCAGTTCTGTAAGGAAATAAGCCAGTAAAATGGACTTCAGAAGGAAACAGGATATAATATTTTTTCTTCTATCTGTTAGTTGCCAGCTGTCATTTCTTTGTTTTGAGTTAGCACACATTAGTGGCTCTAATCAAAGTCTGACTTTGTGCTGCAAAACCCTTCAGTAATGCCACCTTTGCTATATGCACACATTTTACTAATATGAGTATCTGCTATTGAAGAAAGCAAGAAACAAAATACAAGAACTTGACTTGCTATGTAGTTAATTCCAGGATTCTCAGCCCAAACAGCCTACAAATAATTTTATCGGTGATCATCCTTGGGGACTCTTGAGCGAAGTAGAGAGGCAGACCTCTATTCAGCTGAACACCGGGGATGCTGCTTTTGGCTCCTGGTGACTGACTGCAGCTGTGAAGTACTAAAATTAGTTAAAGTAAGGCTGGTGAGAGCTTAATAGCCAATTATCAGAGTGGCAAATGCACTCCCCGAATCAAGCCAGGAAAAAGTAGTAACCAGTAATTCACGTCTTATATTTAAACCATTCCCTTCAGCAGGAGACATGTTCTCTGTCAATTTTAGCTAAGCCACAGCCACACTGCGTTACGCGGTTTTCTGTAACGCCTTGCATTAAGTGGATTTCAAGTTGTACAGCATAGCTAGATAAATGCGCAGTGGAGCAGAATGAAACAGAGAAGAGAAATTAAGATGATGCTGTTAAATCTATGGCATCTCTTAATTTCCAGAAGAGAGAACCACAAATACAGGAATCCTATGTCACAGTAAAAAAAAAATCACATAGTGAACTGAGCATTCAGCAGG